TAAACCCATTAGCGGCCGCGGGGCCAAATGGCCGCGGCTAAAGCGGGGGCGAGGGGGGATTAACTGGCTGCCCGGCATAGGGGCAGCCCTGCACGGCCCCACGCGGCCCTGAAACAGCCCCATCCAGCCCCACACGGACCTGAAACGACCCCGCACAGCCCCTCATAGCCCCACGCAGCGCCACATGGCCCTGAAAAAGCCCTGCATGGCCCCACACAACCCTACACGGGCCTGAAACAGCCCTGCATGGCCCCTCACAGCCCCACGTGGGCCTGAAACAGACCCACATGGCCCTGAAACGGCCCCACATGGCCGCACACAGCCCCGGCGTGGGCGCCAAGGCCTCCCTAGGCACGGGGCCGGGCATCCCTGCCTCCTGGGCACCCTTTGCACGCGCACGATGTCCCCCCAGCCCCGCAGCCTGTTGTCCCGCTCTAGGGGGTCTCCCGGCCCCACGGGTGCTGCGGGGATGTCGGGTGCTTTGGCTCAGCAGTGGCTGTGGTTTCACCAGGTGCATTTACCTGCCTGAGGGTGCAAACGCGCACACACGCACACATATTCACACACATACACGCACACACACATATACACACGCACATGCGCATGCACACACACGCACACGTGCACGCACACACACACCTGCGCATGCACACATATGCACATGCACACACACACCCCATGCCCCTGGGACCCTCTGTGCCCCCGGCGTGTGTGCACCCACATGCCCCACCGCAGGCGCGTGCCCGCAGTGCACACCCGCACACGTGCGTGCACACACACACACACACACTTTCAATGCCCATGCGGGCACCCTCCTGCACACACACGTGTGCAAGCACGCACATACATGGGTGCACGCATGCACATACGCGTGCCAAGCGTGATGCACACGCTGGCTGATGCAGAAATCCGTGCACGCGGCCACGTGTGCAGGAACACGTAGCCACGTCGCTCTCACTCCCTGCTGCCCGCACCCCCTCTATGCCTCCCAGGCTGCCCGGACGCCAGGGCCCTTCCCGTCACTCCCGCTAACGCTGCCTTG